ACCTGGATCACCTGTTGAGAAAGAAAAAAGAAAGCAAGCAGAAGAGAACAAGAGTAATAGAATAAACAACATCACAATGATATATGGGAATATGACAGTAAATACTAAATGTTAAACATTATTGTGCAGCACATAAGATCAACAGAACACAGTGTGCTTTGAGGTAGGAGCCAAAAAGGGTGTAGTTTGTGGGTGTGATCACCCGTGTGTACACCTGTGAGCATGGACGCGCCGAGAGGTCGGGGGCACCCCACCTCCGAAGTGGCCCGAGCGAGCCCCAGGCTCCAGGCCCCGATAAGCGGCCGCCAAGGAGTGAGCCGGTGTGTACCTGGACGCCCATCCCCAGACACAAAGAACCACCAACGCACCGATGTCTGAGGGAGTCCGCCACTGGCAGGGGAAGTGGTGGGGGGGGGGATAGGCCTCCAAACCTTGGAGGGCCTGAGATGTCCCCAGAGAGGTGGCATCTGATACCTAACCTGACATATAGACACAGACATACAGGCACACACAGATACAAACATCCATTCCCACCCTCATGCTCTCATTACCTCCACAAATACACACATTTTAGATGTAAGCACAGGAGGGAAAAATGAAAGCGGGATTGTTTTATTATTCTTAGAATAATAAAAGCAATTTAATGTCATTAAAGAGTGTCTATTCTAAAGAGTAGACAATTACTAGTCTACTCTCAACATTCTATTCTACAATACATATCTTTGTAATATAAAAGAGAAAACATAAATGTGATAAAAAAAAATTATGAGATAATTGAAAAATATAAAATAATGAGGTACACATGTCCAGCTGGGATAATCACACCAGGGTCTTCTTGATGTGATGTTCGTCTATTTCTCTGGCCGCTGCATCTGTGGGGATGGCGTTCGCTGATCCATTTGTGATGGTTTATGGTACACATCAACTTTTAAATGCCCCATTATTGATGAAAATCTCACAGTCTAAGAAGCCTAACCTGCCACTTTTCATTTCCTCCCTGGTGAATTTGATGTGTTGGTGCACCAAGTTGATGGAATCAGGGAATTGTGGTACGTCCTGAGACTTGATTTTCACCCAGGTGTCAATGACTTCCAGGGTAAAATAACAAAGCCCTCTTTTCCACTTCTTCCATGTACAAATTGAGCACAATGGGTGAAACTAGGGAACCCATGGACATCCATGTTTCTCCCTGTACTGACCCTTGTATGTAAAACATGTGGAATTAAGACACTGTTCAAAGAACAAACACACTTGTTTGGTGCTGAGGCTGGGGTCATCCTCACGAACTACCTCCACTGCTTCAGTAATAAGTTTTATTAGGTTTCTGTTCTTAGAGTGATATTTTAATATGAGTCTAGCTGTATGGGCTTCCCCAGAAATGTGATTTACATCTTTAAACCTTGTGCTAACACTCTGAGAACTATTTCAAAAGAATCAGAAAAAATTTAATCTATCAACTATTTTGAACACAAATTATATTAAAATTGTACAAGTATATAAGACATGTTATTTGCTCGCGTCTTCTAATCACAGTCAGGCAGGAGTTTAATTTCTGTTAAAAAAAATATACAGACCTGATTAGCCCGTTATAAGCATCAGCACCTGAAGCAGGAACAATAATGCACAACACACACTTTCAGTTTTGTTTCTCTGACATTCCTGCATCACCCGAGGAAAATGAATGTGTGTGCTTTCACTGCTTTGAGTTGTTATGTAAAAGTTTTACACAGCCTGGATTCAAGGGAAAGAATCAGCATCACTGCAATAGTTCATAAACTTAAAACAGGTTGTGTTTAAAAAATGTTGCCTAGCTACACTCACCCTGTACACCACCTTACAGACTTCAGATTGCAGTGTTTGCATAAGATGTTGTTCACCTGCGTGCACCTTCCTCCACTCTTACAGTGTCATGAAAATGTATTTGACCCCATCCTGATTTCTGATGTTTTTTTAAAAATATTTTTTCACACTTTACATGTTTCAGATCAAACAAACATAATATTGATGGTAAATGGCCTGTATTTATATAGCGCTTTATTTTGTCCCTATGGACCCCAAAGCGCTTTACACATTCACTCATCCACCCATTCACACACTGGTGATGCCAAGCTACATTGTAGCCACAGCTGCCCTGGGGCGCACTGACAGAGGCGAGGCTGTCGGGTTGCCCCCGGGCCCTCTGACCACCACCAGTTGAGCTATTCAGAGGTGGACTGTGATCACTGTCCTGCTGCATAACCTGAATGAGCAGTTACAGCAAGTTGTCCAGATCCTGAAGCAGCCCCAGACCATCACACTGCCACGACTGTTGGAATCTTGGCAGTGACACCTTGTGGCGAAAGAGTTAATTACAGCCACATGACTGGCTGCCCTTTGACGTATGGCAACACAACAGCATAGAAAAGCCTGATTTTCCAGATACCTGCTGCATTTTAATGTTTGACTTTGTGCTGACTTTAGAATAACCACCATGTTTGACTGTTGGTTTCTTCTTATGAAATGCTGCTAATTTATGCCAGATGTGACAGGATGTAAACCTTCCAAAACCTTTTGTCCCTTCAGTTCACATAGTATTTAAATGTGGAATATTTGTGGAAATATTTCTTTATTTTATTTCTTTACTTGGGCAGCGGTGGCTACCACCACAGAATTCATTTTTCAAGCCATGTGCCAATACAGAGCAGAGCAGCTACAGTTAGGTCCATAAATATTTGGACAGAGGCAATTTTTCTAATTTTGGTTCTGCACATTACCAGTAAATTTTAAACGAAACAGCTTAGATGGAGTTGAAGTACAGACTCTGAGCTTTAATTGGGCCTGAACAAAACAATTACACAAAAATGTGAATAAAGCATTTGGACAATTTGCATTACTCAAAATAAAATGTTCATTTCTAATATTTGTTTGAAAACACTTTGCTGTAAATGACAGCCTGAAGTCTTGAACTCTTGGACATCACCTGGGTTTCCTCCTTTGTAATTCCACTACTTTGCTTTAATAAACTCCTCAGTTGTTTTGGCTATATGTTTGGGTCATTCATCTGTGTTACAAAACACCACCCCATCAATGTGACTGCATTTAGCTGGATGTGAGCAGACAGTATGTCTGTTAACACCTCAGAATTCATTCGGGTGCTTCTGTCCTGTGTCACATCATCAATAAACAGTAGTGTCCCAGTGCCACTGGTATCCATGCTCGCCTAAGGTAGGCTTTGAATCATGAGCTGCTCCATGTTTTCTCCATATTTTTTTCTTCCCATCAGTGTGGTAGAGGTGGATCTTGGTTTCATCTGTCAAATGAACTGTGCTGACTTGCACCTTGTGGTGAATCCTCTGTATTTACTTCCATGCAATCTTCCCTTTGTGGTAAACTTAAATATATCCATACACCTACCTCCTGGACAGTCTCGTTTACTTGGTTGGCTGTTGTGAAAGGGTTTCTTGTCACCGTTGAAATGATTCTTTGATCATCCGCCAACAGTGGATGAGCCGTGGACCTCCAAGTCTTTTTTGCATTGCTGAGTTCACCAATGCTTTCTTTCTTTCCCAGGATGCAACAAACTGTAGATTTAGTCCAAAGATCCAGACTTGGAGGCAAACCTGACCAATGGAAGATTGGCCTTTATTTACATGGTAGCAACAAATCCACAGCAATAGTGAAAACAGCTCTGTAATGAATCCAAGAGCAAAACACAAGGGCACACAAACAGTACATCACAGAAAAGAGTTAAGAAAACTGAGGACTTAAATACACACAAGGTAATAGCTGGCAAAACAAGATCACATTTAACACAACTAGGACAAGAGATTATTTAAAAAAAACAAAAAACAAAAGAAAAAACAGAAAAACGAACGCTGAGACTAAAATGAATGAACTTGACAGGCCAAACTAAACACAAAGGCTAAACTGACTAAACATAAAACATATGACAGAAACACATTAGACATGAAGAACATAGGCGTGCAGGAAAAACTTGAGAATAACAATGAAATCGATGAATACAAAGGTATTTAAAAAACTGAAAACTACAAAAGTAGTAAATTCATCCCACTCCCATCCTGTTTTCTAGCTTCAGGAGCAGCAAGAAGACAGCTGTAGACTTTCAAAAATAATCAGGAGGCAGGTAAGGTACAAATAAGTGCAGAGGAGTCCAAAAGACAGTCCCCTTGTCTGTCACAGGCATCTCATTTTGTTTTGTTTTTTTACTCATGTTTAAAGTGCCTTTGGGTTTCTTACAAATCTAAGTAATTCATCAGCATCATCATCATCATTATAATAATAATAATTATTAATAATAATCATTAGTATGACATTCTCACTGTGGACTCCTCAGTCGTTCTCCTTAGGAACAATGGAAGGTGAGATGAACTGTGTCAGTGTGAAGCACTGAATTACAGGCTGATGTCAAAACAGGTGACAACTCTACTATTGGGGATGTTTCAGAGAAAGAGGAATCAGCCCTGCTTCTGCCCCACCTGGAAATCCTCCTATATTTTGAATGCAAAATGCAAAATCTTGCATAAATATTTTTCTCATGCCTAAAGATGAATAAAAATACTTGAATATGAATAAAAAAAAAATTTGTCCCCATAAGTGACTGTTGGTCCCCACAACCATAGTTGAGTGCTAATTTTTCTGTCCTCACAAAGATGTCTAAACATGCACATGCACGCACACACACACACACACACACACACACACACACACACACACACACACACACACAGCTAAGGCAGCCTGTCAGTACTTTATTTTATTACTTCCAGCCACCGGGGGGCGCTTGTTATCGTTTTTTCTCTGAAGCCAATGCCTCCGATCCTCAAATGCTTCATAAAATATCTTCGTAACTGTTTTGTTTACGTTTCATGATTCAGGAGATACGATATTTTAAAGATAGTTCTCTTTCTTTTCTCTTTTTTCCATTAAGCCCCGCCCAGCCGTGCAGCGTTGAGAAACAAAACGTGCGGCCGAACGCATGCTGATGACGACACCGTCGACGATCCACAACAACAAAACAACAACAGAACTCAGCTGTTTGCTAGCTAACTAGCCGGCCTGGTTGTTCAGCGCTGTTCTCGGCAGTTTCCCGTCACTCTGGTTTAGCCGCAGAAGTTTTAGAGCTGCTAATACGTCTGGCTATGAAATGGTTTCTAGAAAACCCTCAGTTATGTTCTGCAGTTGGGTTTAATTTTAACTTCCTTTGTCTCCTTTTTGCGGGCTTCTAGCTGATTAGCTTTACGACTGAGGACGGAAAGGAGGCTGTCTGCTCGCCATAAAGGTAACCACTCGTAACGCGCAAAAAACAAGCGCATAATGTCCAATGCGGTGTTAGTGCGCAGACTGTGAAATAGTCTAAATGTTGGCCTGTTGCATTTGAGAGAAGCTGGAAGCGAAGTATGAGTGATGGTGGGCGAATAACGGAACATTCAGCGCACCTGTGCTCAGGTTACGCTGTCACGTGATCTATCCTGTAACTTCACTCCTGCACGTTATCTGAAGTTATTAAATGTGGAAGTAGTAGCGTTACAAAAACCTGGTTGTTGCTCTATGTGCAGCACCTTGATCAACCTGTGTCGTTTTTAAATACATTTACTTGACAGGATTTCCCAGGAAAAGCAATAAAGTTGCACTTTAAAGCAAAAAGACAAATTAATGGGAACATGTTCTGCGCATGTCTTTCTGCTCTTTGTTTATTTTTAGTTTTTTAATTTAATTTGTGGACTCCTTTTCGCTTAAGGCACCTTTCTTATGATTGGCTGCACCAAGCAAAGTGGAGGCTTGAACGGCAGGTGGGTGTGGCACACGGATATCCTCATTCTGTCAAGGCGTAACAGAGCTGACCTCTGACCTTTTGGCTCACAGGAATTAGTTGTATGTACACTGACGTCAGTATTTGAAACTTTGTATTTAATGTGACAATACACTACTGAAAGAGCATGATGCATATGACAGATAAAATGATATTTTGGCAGTGCTCTTTTCAACTTACAGAATGGGTTGACTTTGTTCCTATTATATGTTGTTGTTTAAGGTGTTTCCTCCTGGGTTTACATTTCTATACTTTATACGTTATCATCACACAGGCACAGTTAATGGTTTATATCTCTCAGAAGTCAACTTGAAATGACCCACTGGCCAAATTTAGTTGGACAAAAAGCAATATCTTTAAGAATGAGCCTGGTATTTCTTTAAAAAATATCAGTATCCACAGCAGGGCTTATAAAACTGCAATGTTACATATTTGTAGTGTAGAAGTGGCTAATTATTTTGAGTGCTTCATTTGTATGTTACAAACTGATTAGGCCTCAGTCACACAGGCTTAGAAACAGAGTAATGATGTGAATTGCCTGACCAGTTGGCAGCTGTGCACCAAACCCTCCCTGCAGGCCTCGACTGGGACAAAAAAATCGGCCCGGGCGTTTTGACTAGAGACCAGTCCACAAAGTATTATAGGAAAAGCCATAAAGCCTTTGAATGAAAACAAATGCTGCTGTGACAGTAATGTACACGCTCTTGTTGGTATATATGATTTCTATACATTTTATATCAGATGACCACTTTGGTTTTAAGATTTAGAATTAATTATTTATTAAAAGCGAGATATTTTAAATGAGAATAAGAAAGAAAAGTATTTCTTTGTGCCCCCCTCTCCCTGTTAATACCCTACCTGGCCCCCTGGCAACACTTTGCCAGACCCGCCCCTGCACAGTTACCAGCTGTCAGCTACTTAGAAAAGGATCCTGGTGTTATTTGTCTCTCAGAAACGGTTCATAACTTCCCTTCATGTCACCTTAAAGGTAAACATGTTTCTCAGTCACCTGTTGATGATCCAGTAAGGACATCTCCTGGTTTCATCTTCATGTTTCCCTCTCACCAGATAACCAAACCGATATCATAACCAGCAGCTTTTACAGCTGTGGCTCCAGCAAACATCAGCTGATACTAGAAATTAATATTAAATAAATTCTAACAACAGCTGATCAAGCTTAAACGTGCTGCTGTTGTTTAGCGTGACATCTGCTGGTTTCCTCTTTCTGGCACAAAGTGGGCGATAAACAAACAAGAGAGAAAAGCCGATCAGCTGATCATTGATCAGTTTCATGATTGAAGTAGCAACAGGAGAGGGAGGGGAGAGAATTAGAGAAGAAGAGGCAGCTGCAGCGTAAAGAGATAAATAAAATAAATCCAGATTTGTGTCTTTTTCTTTTTCATTCTAGCTGAAGTACGGGACAAATCGCGTTCCTTTCCACCTCAATACCATCTTCTTCTGTTTGTCTGTGATAAGACTGCTTTCAGAGCAAAGGGGAGGGTGTATCTGACCTCGGCTGTAACCACTCCAGCCCAGAGTCGATCATGAAACACTGGCCAATCCACCATCTTTCATTGTTTATACTGTTACAAAAAACAAAACATTGGCCCACCCGGCAAATGCCCAATGGCCAGTCCAGCTGTGCTTCCCTGTGATTGGTGACTGCAGTCACTTGTAGCTTGCATGGGAGGCATTGACTTGTCTGCAAGAACTCACCATTTACTCTCCAAGCTGCAGTGAAATTTGCAGCTGCCATCAGCCTCCTGTAACCACTCACTCATACACTTTTTACCCCTCAGCTGTAAAAGGCTGATGGGCGACAGGGACACCCAAGATTGTGAATGCGACAACTCGAGAAAATGGCAATGAAGGACTTTCAAATTGATACCATGTGTGTATCTAGTAAAAACAGACGAGTTTGAATCTTAGTGACATCATCCTCAAGGTCAGGGGTCAGAGGTAAATTTTTCTGACTATCTTGAGAATGTGATAACTTGAGATGGAAGTCACTTAGGATTATTAAATTCATATCTACTAGCAGGCTGAGGGGTACCACTGGCTACTTGTTTCCTTTACCATTTGGTGGTTGCCAGCTGGGTCACTTATTGGTCTGTAGCCCTGGGTGACTGAGGCCTCGAGCAGCTTGTTTCATGCTCATGAACTCCAGCGAGTGTCATAAAACTGTTTTCAGTTACATTAAAAAAAATTGTGGGCATTGACCAGAGAAAACAAAGAGAAGGTGCTTAAGGTCTTAATCTACGTTGTCCATAAGATTCTGTAACACTGAGAAGGCTTTAGAGTCTGTTCTGTCCAAGGGAGCCCATGACAGATTTATTGGTGAGATTTAGGAAAATCAGCGAAGGTATTCACGTACTTGGTGAAGGCAATTAAGCCACAGTCTTTCAGGAATACTAAGGTTCAGTAAACAGCTCCACAAACCATCATCAGGCAGGCCGCGTTAAGTTTTACCAGACTGGCAAAGACTGTAGCTGAGGACGTTTCCATGATGTTAAATGTAAAAACTCTTACTAACACTCTGAATTTAAGGAATTCAGCGAGAATATAAACATGAATATTGGCGTTGATGATGAGGATAAATGATGCGTACGAGACACATAGTTTAGTATAAAAATCACACAAACTAGCTCCTGCAGAGATTATTTTATTCCATGTTATCATCAGCAACTTGGAAAAAAAACGTATTTGTTTCTGCTTCATGTTTTTATCTTTAAGGCACTGATGCAACAATGTTTATGGCAAAGTCTGACTCCAAAACCAACTGGTGGAGATTCTGACCCCCACCAATGACCACGAATATTATTTCTTCACCGTTCATCATGTCCCCACGAAAAAGAACCCTCGTCCCGGTAAGCAGCCGGCGGAAAGCAGCGGACGACTACTTCCCCTTCAACTTGCTGCCGGTGGAGTGCCAGCTGCACGTCCTGTCCTTTCTGAACGAGGTGGATAAGTGTAGCTGCGCCCTGGTTTGCGCAAGCTGGAGCTGCCTCGTCCGCTCGTGGAAGCTGTGGCGGGTGGCCGACTACTCCCGTCGTGTTGGCTTCCACCTCGGTCAGGAGGGGTTGCTCGTTTCCAACCGGGAGTTCGAGAGGTGGAAATCCTGGGTCCAGCACTACACCTACCACCTCATCTCCCGCCGGGCCAGCCTGCTCACGCTGAGGGCCAGCTTCGACCTGGGGGATCGCTGCAACAAGTGGGGCGAGCTGCTGAGCCACCTACTGGACAATGTCCACTGCAGAGACCTCAGCCACCTCGACCTTAACTGGACTTTTACTCTTTTAGAGCCGCTCGACCTCAGGGTCCACTCCAGCCCCAGTTCCCACCAGGATAACATTACCAAAATGGACAAGGTAATTTGTTTCTACTGGTTTTATTTTCTAAGAACTGCCACCTTACACATTAGTTCAGGTAGAAAGAAATAAGTTTTCTTTATATCAAGCTAGAAAGCAAACAGTATATCAGGTATGAGTAGTCATTTTTTTCTTTATTTTGTGCTTTTTTGTGCTGTAGAATAAAAGAGAACAAGAGAAAAAGAATCAGGCATATTGTTGCTCTCTGGAGGTCTGAGCACAAACCCACGATTATATGATGTACAGGAGAGCATGAAGTCCTTATTTTTAGCAATCAAATTTTAACAGAGGCCATCCTGAAACAGGAAACAAGTAAATACCCCAAAACAGCTCCTCCTATTGTACATGTCAGTGCACATCCCACCTAAAAATCCACAGAATCCCATCTGACTTAAACAAATAACTACATGGTCTATAACAGATAGATATTTCTGTTAACTCTGCATAAGTCAAATCTTTTCACGTGGCTCTAAATGGGTCCCCAAACAGCTTTGCCTATTTTGCGGTTTCTACTGAAGTTTGCAGTGTTTTTTGACGTAGCGATTTCAGGCCTCAGTGGATGAAATAACTTCAACAAGGATCAACTTCAAGGCGACTACTAATTAGAGCACAGGAATCTGCTGATTGATATGTGATAAGGTAGTTCCTGTGTCGACGCCCATTTACCGAGTGTTCGTTTTAGTCAATTTTTCCCCAAGCGAGGCCATTATCTTTGTGCCTTTTTAAAGTTTGTTCAGTTTTTATCATTAAAATATGGAAAACATCCTAACTCGGCAAAATAAATACAAAACCATAAAGATGGAAAAAAGGAGACAAATTACATTTTAAAAAATAAATAAAAAAACCTAAATGTGATGCAATAAGGAGCCAGTCCAGTAAGTGATGCAGAGGGTGCTTCAGTTAGTGTTTATTGTCTTTTTGGAAATTCTATTTGTGGCAACTGTCAGGTGAACAAAAAAGACATCATATTCACAGACGATACATGCATCAACAACAGCTGGAATTTCACCAAGAGTCAGAGCATCACAGCGTACAAGCTACACACCTCATGTCACCACAGTCGTTCATTAGATTTATACTAGAAGGTAGAAAAGAGGTGGTTCCCTGTACCTGGGTCCTCATGATCGTAGCGCATCATACAGTCTTATTGAGGGTTTGGGGGGGTTTCTTTATTATCTACATTAGCGAAAAGTAGCAGGCAATAAAACAGAGTCAGAAGCACGTAGGTTATTTGTCCATAATTGTTCGTGATGGCTGCAGCCGTTTGGATGAGCTCTGCGTTAGCTGATGAAGGAATCCAACCAATGTGTTGATTCAAAATGACCTAAAACAGCAGCAAGTTTGGATGCATTTCACGACAAGCAGATGAATAATCCAGGTAACAGAAACATTCCTCCACAGTAACGTGTCCGGGATTAAACTACAAACAGTGTAATCCCCCCACATTCCTTCTTGCAGCTCAGATTAACACCCAGCACCTTTAACCGCTTTGCAGCTGTTATAGGATTAATGCATTCTTATGTTGTGTATCGTGCGGTCCGTGTAACTGTAGATGTTTTATTTTCTTAAAGATTTTTACTCAGTTTGAATTTATGCTTGAATTTTTTATAAAGGGTGTGATGACATCAGTATTCAGATGGTTTTGAAGCCTTTTAAGGTCTGAAGCTCAAATATAGCATCTGCTGTCCCACATGGTGCAACACTGAGACGAAGATATGTTTTACATTTGGAGTACCAGTCCACTTTTACATGTGTTTCATAGTGAGTGAGTATGAATCCATAGGGAGAGGTAGATTTAAACCCTATCGTAAGAGGAACAAAAGGAGTAGAGGTGTTTTCTGAGAAGCCTGGACAGCACCGGCTAACTCATTTTGCATAACTGGTTCAAGTTCCACCTGCAAGTGAGGCAAATATGAATGCAAGCATCCATGACCGGCAACGCTAATGTGTCACTTGTTTTCTTTTCTTTTGTCTTTGATTTGTCAGGTGACCCGCTTTCAGGAGCTGCTGAGCAAGCTGACCCAGAACTGCCCACGCATCTCCAAGATGCGCCTACATTTTGACTGGTCGGATTTGTCCGTGTCGCTGCTCACGCAGTTCCAGCAGCTCCGAGTCCTCGAGCTCAAATACTTCTGGGTCTTTAAATGCGTGACTCCCTCAACGCTGCAGATGCTCATCAAATCCCTGCCTAACCTCAAGTCTCTGACGTTAAACATCTTGGTGCCGCTGAGGAACCTCGGCATCTCCTACACCCTGGAGTCTCAGTCTCTGGAGTTTTTGGACGTGTCTCCGAGCCGAGGCTTGGTCTTCTCCTGCCTTAAGCTGCCAGCCCTGCGTGAACTTCGAGCCAAGAAGATTGTCCTGCGTGTCACGCTGGACCGCAGGACCAGGACGCGCATCCAGAGCCGCTGGCCCTGCCTGTACCACGTCCTCCGGGAGGGGACGCCGAGGCTTCAGGCTCTAAACAACGAGAGGCTCCTCCCTACATGGAGAGAGAAAAGTTACGGAGAGCTGACTGCTATCCTGGAACAGTCCTGCTACTGTGTTCAGCATCTAGACAGCTGGCTGTGGTAGTCATACGCATGACATTACATGAAGTTCTTACATTTATCATTTTATGGTGAAATCTATAAAGGAGCTAAATATTGCTTTTACGTCGCATTTTTTTATTATTATTGTTTAAAAGAACTGAAGACTCAGAATAACAAACTTGTTGCTGACAGAAGCAGATAAAAGCTGAGATTTGATAGAAAAGTAGTTTCCAAGTCTTTAACAGAAAGCTGCTGTTCCAGTTGGAAACGCTGTCCAAATCCTGACAAGGCAATCACCCACAACACAGCTTTCTTAATTTTGTCCAGTTTTCTCAAAGCTTAATGTTAATTATGTGATTGAAAATCTGCTGGAAACATTTGTAACGCCCACAAGCGGATATGCATACATTGTAGCTACAACTACACCATGAGATGTGTGCAATGAGGCCCAATACCAGAAGACAGCGTGTACTGGTGACGATTAGAGAATAAAGGCAAAATGTTTTAGATTTATTTATAAATTTTATTCTTAAGAAATAGAAATCAATATGGGGGGAAAGCTGTCAGCACTAAATTCAAAGAAATGAAGGTAAGAAAATATTGACTCTGGTAAAGTCTTAAAGTATGACTGCTTCATTCTGAAATTGTTAACTTTTGACTGGGAAAGACACTTTCTCCCTCATGAAAATATTTTAGCTCTATTCTATGAACATTACATTTGCAGATCTTACTCTAAAACTATTCTCTCGCTCCTCAGTATAAATACAGAATAGGCTTGGTTTCAATCCCAGAAATATTGTGGCTCTTCTTAATATATCAAAATTTAATTTTACAGCTAAAAAATTGCAGTTTTTATTTGTATTGTGTATATGTATGTATGTGTGTGTGTGTGTGTGTATGTGTATATATATATATATATATATATATTTTTTTTTTATAATTCTATTTTTTTTTTAATTTTCTTTTAAAGACTTTGTACATTACTTTGCCTTTATTCTCAGCATCAGATTACCAGCATATCTCCTCCACTGTAGAAAGCAGATGGTTATTGTACTGTATTTTGTACTCAGTCGTTCCTTGAATTCGGTTGTATTTATTAGCGTCGATTACTAACTCAAACGGAAGACACATCGAGTCTTTTGCTAGAGAATTGCACAGATGAACACATGAGATCCGTGTATGAATGCAGTAAATGGGTAAGAGTGTGTGGGAGACGTGGTGCAGGACCAAAAATGCCAACGTGAAGCTCTTCTTCCTAAAAAGCAGCTGAAGAACATCAGCTGTTTCGGTGTGACTGCTCTGACTCGGCTGCTGATTGCTTTCGTTAAGCTGGTGTAATTCTGATCACAGGCTGCCGGGAATGCAGAAACAGTTCATTCCAGTGCTGGGCCACATTATTTTAATCTCGAGTGCCCCCTCTGTGGGCAGGTTTATTGTTGATGTGCATCATGTAAATGTGTTTGTCTGAAGAGGGAGCTAATGAGTTTCAGCAAACTTTACCCTGCCCGTCTTTAAAATTAGTCAGCTTCTGATGTCTCGAAACTTTTTGCACATTTCCTTTGCTGTCACAAAAGGCTGATTATTTCAAGTCAAATTCCAGCTGGTTTTTTTTGTTTGTTTGTTTGTTTTGTTTTCAGCTTCATTTGTCTGCTTGTGACAGCAGAGACAGTCGAGTTAATGCACTTGCAGTTACCCTTCTTGTCAGCAGAGGTCCTTATTATCAAAGATTTGCCCTTGAAGATTTCTGTCCCTGTTTAAACCTGCACTGGTGTAACTGGTGGTTTACCTGATGGGCTCCTGTTTTTTTGTTTTGTTTTTTTGTTTTTAATGGCTGAAAGAAAATGCTCCTGAACAATGTAAAATTACCAAGATTTTGCCTTGATTACCTGTAACACGGTCTGATTTAGATCCAAGTTGCAGTTATAATCTGAATGTGTTTCAACTGGACAAATGCAGAGTAAAAGTAAGAAAAGTCTTTGTAGCTGCTTATGAGACTGAAGCAGATGATTTTTACATTTTTCCTTCTACTTAACTCTTTAAGACCTCAGCAGCTCTTACCCTGTGGTTATCAGAATTTTTGTTACAATTTAGTCGTTGTAAGTTGTAACACGCATAAAATGATGTATTTTCCACCTATAACGTGCCTTTTTCTCTCTCCAGATAATACAGAATTAGAGTTAGACCTAACCCCAGCTGTGTGATGGATTGGGCCTTCAGAGCGTTTATGAGTGCAAAAATCTTGGTAATTTAATTAAAGCTTGTTTTTTTTAAACCAAATATCCTTGAGAGAATGTGTGTGTATATACGCGAGAGTGCTTGTAGTGAGAGATCTGGTTGACATTTCACAGATTTCTTCCAAAAGAGTTGTGCTCTGTATTGACACGTGAAAGTTCCTGTTGCTGCCTCGCTTGCACGCATCAATCCAAATTAAATGCATTATGAAACTGATGACCTACCTCTTCCTTTCTAAGGAGTAAATCTTGAACGTAAGAGCAGAAACCTGTGACATTCAGGCAGATGTTATAACATCTGGTTCACTTGTCTCACATAATAAAAATGACAGTTGAGTTTTTGGGTTTACTTGTTTTATTGTTGCTGGGGTCTTTATTTGCTTTGGTATCCGATGTTGATGTAGTTTTAATGTGAACAGGAATGTGGCCTTGCTGCCTCAGCTGCTCATCCACCTGACTTTGGCCTCAGGGCGCTGATGGTTGGTCTCCAGTGTTATCAATATGCTCAGGATGATTTGACCACCTTGACCCTCCAACAGCAACATCTGTTCTCAGTACAAATAACCAGCAACACTCCCATCTCCGGCCCTCTTTTCCTGCATTATTCCCATTTTGCCTATTAGTCTCCCTCCTCTTTCCTCTCCTGAGATGAAGAATATGTGCACAGTGGTCACGGTGGTCGTCGTTACCCGCGGTTGGAGCTTTCCAGGAAGTTTAGTGATGTACCAATCACTACGGTCTATGTTCTCCTCTTTTTTTTTTCTTCTGTTTTATTCAGCCCACTCAGCAGTCCTCTCTTTATATACCGTCTTGGTGGGAGAGACTTGCATGGTCTCTGTTTAGATAAGAACCCTTGGACCCCTCCTGCTGCAGAGACTTGCTTGCAGAAATTTAAGGAAGAACAGCTGTATTTCGAAACTTTGAACACCTCTTACAATCAAAAGCGGCGATGCTGGATGTGTTCCCCACTGAGGATTTTGTTGTGCCCGGGGGTGTTTGTGTGTGATTGTGATGGTTTGAGGAGTGTTCACAGAAAGGGAATGTGAGGAAGTGTGGGATGGGGTAGGAGAGTGCAGTGTGAGGACTTGCGGTTTACCTAACCCCAGCATTAGTGGCATGACCGCAGTAACCACCTCCAGATGTTTGGGAGCACAATCTGACTGATTATTTACAGTGAACATCGCCCTCTTCACACTGCAATGTGTACTCTTTGCTCCTTTGGCAGTGTCAAAGTTAATGCTTAATCCAAGTACAGACCCTTAATTGCTAAGGCCAAGCCCTGTTTATTGGAGGGAGGTTACATGCCTGTGAACAGATCAGACAGCACAGACCAGAGGCAGACTCACTCAGGGAATCATCTCTACCAGGCAAGCAGCAGGACGGACCAAAAGAAGCAGCTACAATGCCACTGAAGTTTGGAACGACGAAGGCTATCGCCATCGCCTTTGGTGTTCTGACCGTCTCTTCCATCGGCGGCATGTTCACCATGATTATTCTGTTCAAGGCTCAGACCCAAAACATTACCATGACGCCACCTCCAACCCTGCCACCCACCACCATGGCCCCACCGCCAGACATGCGGCTGCCGAAGAGCTTGGTACCTCAGAAGTACGAAATTGTACTCGCAGTTCACCTCTACACTAAAATCATAGAGGAGGGGAACGGCTCCAATCCCAACATCACCACTCCGAACCAGACCATGATCTTCACGGGAAACTCGACTGTCCACTTTCAATGTGCCCAAAAGACGATGAGCATCTTTCTCAACAGCAGATACCTGAACGTGTCCTCGCCGGTGGTGTTGAACGAAAATACAAAAAGGAATATTAAAGTGTCTGGAATGAAACACCGCGATGATGAAAGTGACTTCCTCGAGCTCGAATTGATGGATCCCTTGGAGACAGGAGGGAACTACTCTTTGTTTTTGTCTTTCCACGGCGAAGTCTCGGATAATCTGGAAGCACTGTATCTAAGCAGATATACTGATGGTATCTTTGACTATGAAAGTGTAGATGATCCAAATGCGGACAGGTACGTATAAAAGCTCTGCGTATAGAATATATATCAATACATTTAATTATTTGTTGAATTTGGAGTTTCTAAAACAATTTCAGAGCTTTTCATTACTGCAACTTTAAAGTTTATGGTATTCCGTACAATAATCGGCAATTAGAGCTTAGAGGGTTTCTGAGAAAGTGAAAGAAATGTGGTCGTGTTTATTCCAGTTGGAAAAATAATCTATATTAAATTAAATCTATATTTAATTTATTTATTTTTTATCTGAAATCTATGAAAGTTATGTAAGTATTCTGTATTTAATGCTATTTTTAGGATTTCAAGATTCCAATTTTTTCTGGAGTGAAAAATAAATACAAAATTTAAATTTAAGTGTTTTGTTTTTTTTTATAAGAAAACTATTAAGGGAAAAATATTTGGAAAGGTTTCAAGGAAAAGGACATAAAGGCTGGATGCTAAATACAAACTGAAAAGAGTCAAAGTTATATTAAGAAAAATAAATAATTAAGTAATTTCTTAAATCGATATTTCAAGAAGATGCAACTCCAAATATTAAATGATTAAATAAGTAAATATATAAGCCTTATTTTTGATTTTTAGCATTGTTCAAAGTGTAATTCCCTTTTAATATAAAGGAGAGAAAAAAATATCTATACAAGCTTACAAACTTTATCACTCAGCCATAATAACTGTAATAATTCATAATAAGCCATAATAATATTCCATCAGGTTACAGAGATGTTCAAGTTTCCACAGTGAATTAATTTCTCAACTTGAGTGTTTTTTAGAAACAGTGAGTCATCTGGATGACTAAACACAGTGATAGCTCAAACACAAAGTCATTTTCTAATATAACAATGATGCATCCCACATTTTTTCAAATCACTATTTATTTTCCACTGACGTGCAGTTCTTTGTGTCAGTTTTAATCTGACATGTAAAACAATAACCCAAACTGACTGTTCATCGTACCCTTATCCTAGATGTTGCACAAACCCATAAAAAATAATTCACAGTGGAACTTTGGCATTAAAGTTACAGAAACTGCGGCCAGGACATTTTTGTCTTTTGATAAAACTGAGTTGGCTCAACTGATTTACACAGCTTAAGATGAGGCCTAATCAAAATGCAGTTAAGCTGGAACCAGTAAGTATCCAACAGAAAGGACAAACAATATCTTTCAGAATGAAAAAACCTGTAATAATAGTAAAATAATCCATTCATAATCAATGTTTGTTACAACACGTCGCTGGGGTAACATCACTGATTGGTTACATGTGTGCTTGCACCTGCAGTGGTGTAATAAGTATTTAGTTACAAGTAAAAGTCCTGGCTTTAAAATGTGCCGTAAAAAGAAGTACACAGGCAAAATTTGCAACAGTATCAAAGTAAAAGCAATCATTCTGCAATACGCTCACGATTTTTATAAATATAATCACAAAGATCTTTTTTCAATAGCATCTTAATCTAAAGACCAGTAGCTTCAAATAAATGTAGGGGAGGAAAAAGGTCAAATTAAACTCTAAAAATAAAAGAAGCTATAAAGCAGCAACGAAGTTTTTAAAAAAAAAGTAGCTTATTGTTTTTCTGTCTTCTCAGTTTTTGATTCTTGGATATGGTGTCTCACATTGAACTTAAAGAGTTGTACAC